ATGGACATATAAAAAGAGGGTCGGCCCTCCAAGCCAAGAAGATTGGCTCAATGCCAATGTCTTTGTTCAGTTTTTAAAGGTGTTTCGGCAGAACACTTGTGTTTAAGATAATGTTGAACTTTATGATGCCTCCTACATAAGAGGTAGTGTTAGCCAGCGTTTATCTTCTGATGAAGATTAAGGAAATGTAAACTTGTTGAAACTATTTTAAAATAATGAGTATGTGATATGTTATGTTTTCTTTTGTGTTGATAATATTTGATGTTTTTATACCAGTAGTAGTGGAAAAAGAGAGATATTTTTATTTAATGTACATGAATACGGGTGAGAAGGCTATTGATTTGGAGGAAAATAGGTTTGTTGAAGAGAAAGAGTCAGCCACCTGAATTGAAGGTTTTGGATTTTAAAGAACTTTTCATAATCAGTAATTAATGAATGATGATTAATTGTCATGGGCCTTAACTTGTTGCTCATTTATTTGTAGGTTGTATTTGTTGAACCTTTTGTCAAATTTTTAGGAGAAAAATAATGATTGGTCGAGTAAAGAAAAGTACAAGAAGTATGTTGATGAGCAAGAGAGTCGGAGACTCAAAAGAAAACTAAAGGCGGTGAACTTTTTTTCATGTTGCATCAACCTCTTTTCAAGTATCTTTCACAAGCTTTGGTTATTTAGGGATATTTGAGTTTGCTCATTACTAATTTTAAAGTTTAAAAACTTGTTATAATCAGTAAGTAATGAGTTCTGATGATTAATTGTCATGTGGTTTAATTAGTTGCTCTTTTGTTTGTAGGCTGCATCTATTAAACCTTTTGTATCTTTTACAGAAGAGGAAAAGTTTGAGGTTCTTAAAGCATTCTTTCCTTTAAGAAAGTACGTAAGATATATATCTCTTCATTTGAAAGCTTCCGTTGTTGAAACTAAAACTATTGGGCCTCTCTTCTTACAAAGAGAATGTCCTTATAACTGAGCAGAACTTAAACATACAAACAACCATGAATGTTGGAATGCCTTGGACTGTTGAGGTGCTTCATATGTTCTTGTTAATAGCAGTAACAAAAAAGTTGTCTTTGTTAAATAATTGTTTTTGTGATTGCCAAGTCATTGATGTGTACTTGGCATTGCTTAAAGAGATGGAAAAGAGAGAACCGGCTATCACAAAAACAAATATCTAATAAAGATAACATTTTTGTTATTGTTATTAACAAGAATGTATGAAGTACCACATCATTCAACCATTCTCCTGGTCTAAGGCATTGCAACATTTCTTTGGTTATTTGTATATTTGAGTTCTGCTCAGTTATGATGACCTCTTCCTTGTAAGAATAGAGACTCAATAATTTTAGTTTCAATAATAGAAACTTTCAAATGAAGAGATATTACGTACTTTCTGAAAGAAATGATTGCTTTAAGAACCTTAACATTTTCCTCATCTGTAAAAGAGACAAAAGGTTCTGCAACCTACAAATAAATCAGCCACCAATTAAGACCCATGACAATTAATCATTAGCATTACTTCTTACCAGTTATAACAAGTTTTTAACTTTAAAATTAGTACTGAGAAAACACAGATATCCCTATGTTGGACTCGATTCTGCGCAAGACTGGATGATTAAATCTGGAAAGACAAAGATAAACAAATGATCGTGAAACTAAGCACTAAGGAAGGTTGTTCTCAGCATAGGCACTCCAACCATTAAATCAGATATATTTTTTGGGTGCAAATGGACAATAAGTGTATAGGCTGAGTTCAAATTGTTAACTATTTGCGAGGAGTTAGGAAATCTATTTATAGGTGATGAGAAGTCATCATGGGGATTGGTGATACTGTGGAAGAAGCGTGTAAAATAGAGAGCCTGTCGCCCAGCCACTTGCCTCTGTCACCTTAAGTCTCACTGCAATCAAACATAACCACCTTAGTCAGCGTCTTCTGCCTTAGTGTACAGTGGCCAGTTATGTCATCCATGTGCTTTGCACTACCCGAGTTCCAAGGCTAAAAGCTTCAATATGACAAGGCCGGTTGGCGCCAAAAAGGGAGTGCAGCTGGATCCTTTAATGCCCACTTCAACTAGAGTAAGCACATGGGATTGTATTGGGAACCATAAAAAGTGCAGCGCCTTCGGACGGTAAACCAACAAATCGGCAAGTTCACTTTGGGCCAAAGCCCTAGAGTGGGTTTGAATATCTACTGTTCTGCAATGGTTCAAAATGGGGTCCCACAATTGCCCTTAAGTATGCCCCCATAATACCTCGAAGGGGGTATATTGTTACTAAGACCATGTTTCTTATCTCGGAATGAGATAAGTTATTTGGTATTCCCAAACCCTTACAGGAGGTGTCGTCCAATTCTAGGTGACTTGATCTTTTATGACTAAATTTTATATTGTCAGCAAAGCTCGTATTGCGGAGTGAAAATTGTCGTTCTGCGAGGCTATCTCAGTGTTTGGTCGTACGGGTTTACATTTTGCATTCTTAATAGGTGGTTTTTAGTGACAGTTGGGTGAGCTAACTAGGGGAGACAAAAAGTTAATACATATCGTCGGGCACGGAGCTCGAGATTATCGCCTTTCAACAATCATGTCCGACATGCCTCGATCTCACTAAGCGAAGCGTTTGTTGGCTAGAAAAGGCTACAAGCAATCTCGGCCATCGATCATGGCCAAAAAGATGCCACGTGGCTGGCCATGTCTAATCATTCAGCTTCACCCGTTGGGTTTTGAGCTCGATATTTAAGGCCCCTCTCATTTCATTTCCCCCATTTTCTCTTCTGCACCCAGCTTTCAAACCCTACACCACTGAGCTTTCCATTTTCTTTAGAAATTCCCAAAATTCCAACTTCTCAATTTCAAAATTCTTCCCATTTCCTATTATAATCTTGCCTTGTTGCCATGGCCTTACCAAATTCACATGCTTTAACACTCGTGAAACCCTCGCTTAGCGTTCATGCTGTTTCTACCAGTCCCTAACTGTGTCCTTCGATATTGCCGTTTATGGCATACAATGCTACATTGGAGAAGTTTGTCGAAGTGCATCGGGATGTGTTGGATAGCTGCAGCCATATCTTGGGGTTGTAGGGCATCGATGTGTACAACGTCATATTGTGTATCCCTTCCTTGATCACCCAAGCGTGCAGATCCACCCATAGTATTTGAGCCTTAGATTGAGATTTCTCCATGTCTGGGTTTATGAATGAGGCGCTGGTGCACTATCAACTTACCTCCATAAACCTTAGCCTCACCGCGTACCAAGTTCTTAACGCGTTTGAGAGATTGAATCAGATCTATAAGACAAGTATGGGTCTACCTGAGTTCAGAGTTATCTATTTTTTTAAGTCAACCCCTGCAAGTTCTAGATACTTTTTCCAAAGCCGTTTGGGTGGAAAAGGGAACATTTCACATTTCAAAAATTTGCCTACTTATAATAAAGAATATGACCTGAATATCCGGACCGTAGTCGGTAGTGGGAGGGGGATATTTCTAGCCTCATAGTTGTTGTGATTCCCACCAAGTCCATGTAAGTTAAGGATCATTTCGATATAGTTAGAGTCATCAAAGCGCACTAGATAGACAGAGCCACCGATCATTCCTAAGGCTCACAGCAACTGGCAGTGGATAGTCGATCCCGACAGCCCAAAGGTCTGATGAAAGTGACCCATAAATGTTTAGAGGTTGAGACGCCGGAATTGGTAGGTGTGTACAATAAGGTGAAGAAGAGGGGCCGGTTTGAGCCCTGGAGGAAAAAAGAATGTTATGGAGAAGGGGGGACCTGCTTAAGCCCTGTGTGTACAAAAAGGAATGAGGACCCATCTGAGGCCTGAGCATACAATAAGGTGAAGAAGGGGGACCCACTTCAATGACTCTAGAAAAAGTACCTAGAACTTGCGGGGATTGACTTTAGAAAATACAAAGACCTAAACTTCGGTAGACTCATACATGTCTCGTAGATCCGGTTCAATCTCTCAAACGTGTTCAGGACTTGGTATGCGGTGAGAGTAAGGTTAATAGCAGCAAGTTGGTCCCTAGTGCCTACTTAACAAACCCAGACATGGGAAATGTCAAACTGAGGCTCAAATACCACGGGTGGATCCACACGCTTGGGCAATCAAGGAAGGGAGACTTCGGTATGGTGTCGTACACATTGGGCCCCACGACTTCAAGATTAGGTTGCAGCCACCAAACACATCCCAATGCGTTTCGACAAACTTCCCTTACGTAGCATCGTCCACCTTAAAAGGCAGCATCAAAGGACACAATCGAGAACTGCCATAAATGGCAAGAAGGCTAGGCGAGCACTTCACAAATGTCAAAGCCTATGAATTTGGTGAGGCCATTGCAACAAGGTAAGATCCTAAAAGGAAATAGAAAGAATTTTGAAAAAGAAAAGTTGGGAATTTCTGAAGAAGATGGAAAGCTCAGTGGTGTGTGGTTTGAAAGCAGTGTGCAGAAGAGATTAAAAAAAGGGAAATGAAAGGAGAACGACTTTAAATATCAAGCCTGAAGTCCAACGAGTGAAGCTAAATGATTAGATGTGACCGACCATGTGGCACCTCTCTCGCCATTATCTCATAGCCTTTTCTGCCCAACAGTGGCACCTCTCTCGCCATTATCTCATAGCCTTTTCTGCCCAACAGACGCCTCGCTTAAGCTAATGATGGCCTTTGGCGGAATCGAGGCGTCTCAGACATGATTGTTAAGAGGCGACAGTCTCAAGCTCCATGCTCAACGATGAGCATTAACTCTGTCTCCCCCAATTGGTTCACCCAACCGTTGCCAAAAACTACCTCTTGAGAATGCAAAGTGTTGATCCATAAGACCAAACACCGCGACGGTTCTGCAGAGCGACAATTTTCACTCCGCAATATGACCTTTCTTGACAATATAAAATTCAATCATAAGGGATTGAGTCACTTAGAATGGGACTGACTCCGCCTTCAACGTCCGTTGTGATGGTGAAAGGTTGGTAGTTTTAGTGGTAGAATTTAGAATGAAAAATAATGTGATTTTTAATTATACACAAATTAAAAATATTCATTAATAAAAAAGAAATAAAAATCTCTAGATTTGACTCTCCCACAAAACTCCACCACCTCTCCGGAAAAAAAATTGCGTCTCCTCCTAGTGCTCGTTCGCCTCTTTGAAAGCAAGCAATCCATTTCTCATCAATCGAGAAGAAGAGCAGTTTCCAATTCTTCCACTCTCTCTCTCTGTCGCAGTCCCACCACAGTCTCGGTCTCAGTCTCACGGTTGGGGGCAGCTCGGCAGGAAATTCCAACTTCCAACCCAAAACCAATCTTGATTTCCTTCCAAATTTACAGAAGGTATCATCTTTTCCTTTTCTTCTTCTTCCTATGTTCCTACAATTTCATAATTTAGAAATACATGACTGCTTTTATATAGATACATAGACACCATATAGGGGTAGGGAATTTGGAATCCAACTTACTTAGATTCTATGTTTTTTCTTGTGAAATGGAAGTAATGATTGGATCCACGTTTCTGTTTGAACATAATATTATTTTCTGTCCGGTTTTATTTGACAGACAATGTTGTTCTTCCGCTATAAGATTTCGGATTTGAAACCTAAAAACCGCCAATCTAGTTAACACCTGCAACTGCAAGTTGATAAATGTTGCTGTGCTATTCGGTTTTCGGTGTTGGCTGGATTCTTCGATTTGGTACATACATATTGCACTGTGTTTGGCATCATCCTGAAACGAATGCTGTATTTTCTATGACTGTGGGGCAGCTTTTACATCAAGTTTTTATTTTCTCATGATTGTTAATTGAGCATGCTGATATCGTCTTTGCGGGCATGTGTATGTTGCTTTCTAGAAAGAGTTTCTGAGCTTTGTGGTCTTGATTACAGAGCTAAAAATATCTTGATACTAAAGAAAGATGCCGCATAGAACTCGGCCAATGACTGCGCTCTTGGTGTTTACTGGACTGAACATTGTACTAGTTTCAACCATTACTCCAGTCTATGATTTCATCTGCTTCCTTCCGTACTGGGAAAGGCGGGTAAGTGTTCATTTGTTGTTTGTCAAGCAAACTGTCTTCCAGAAAAGAAAAGAAAAATTAAATTGGTGTTGAACCTAGTAGAGAACTTTCTTTAGATTAGGTGATGACTGGATCTTCCCAACATCATCAGCAATGTTGGCCATACACATGCAGCATGCAACTTAAAACTAAAGTACAGTCGATGACTTACTTGTTATATAACTATGTTTGCTTGTACATGATGTTATTATACTCATTTACGGCATTAATAATATCCTCATCTTACTAGTTTTGTACCAGTGAGGTGAAAGTTGTCAAACTTAAATATCATTTTTGGGTTGATTGTGTGTTCATCTTACGGATAATTTTGTTGATTGAAGCTTTCCAGTGTCATCACGATCTCTAAAAACCACTAGTGAGTGGAATAAATTTGGAAAACTATAAAATGCTCAATTATTGTAGTTCGATGATTACACAGGTTTTTTTTTTTTTTTTTTTTCCACTTACCAAGAGGAATGCTTGTCGGCAAGTTCTTGCTTGACCATCTTTAATTTGGGATATGCAAGTTATTAATTTCCATGGTGTTTTCCTGTGTGCGGGAATTAAACTTTTAGAACGACAACTAAATTTTTAGTAGCTGGTATGTTCTAAAGATGAGTAGTGGAAATACTTTTGGAAATCGTAACACAACTAAGACTTGTAAAGCATACGAGTCCCATCAAATAATCCTTTTTCCTTTGTCTGAAATCAAAACTAAAGGGATCGCGATGATATATTTTGGATATATCCTAGGTACTTGTACGCTTGAGAAAAAAGTGGCAGAAAACTTGACCAAAATATGATTTATTCCAACATTAAACATATTCGTTAACTTTCCACTAAGCACAAATTATTAATAGGCTCCCCATCATGACAATGGACTTGGGAATAAACAACCATATTCCGAGAAGACCAATGGTTTCTTAGTTCCTTACTTTTATAAGGATTAGGTTTGGATTTGCTTTTCTACTTCTGTTTTTAAGTTTTTATATAGGTCTAGTGTCCTTTTTCCATTTGGCTTAAACCTTTATAAATGCCTGTTTTAAGACCATTTTTTTTTTACTTTTCATTTTTTTACTATATATATATAGAGTTAAAAACATGGAAGGATGGAGATGGATGAATGAATATTGTGTGTGTGTGTGTGTGTGTGTGTGTGTGTGTGTATAGAGAGAGGTACATGTAAGGATGGATATATGTTGTGGAGGGAGTGTGGTAGGAAGGAGGCAGGAGAAATGCACATGGAATGGCCTACAATATGAAAACTAAAGACTAAAATAAACCTACTTAATTGTGTTTGGTTTTTGGTTTTCATGTTCTGTACCATTCTTTTCTTTTCTTCCACATCAGTCCCATCTTCTTCTATCCTTATTCATGCCTTCTCTTCTCTCTTGTATTTCCTCCTTTTTACTAATCGAGAAGACAAAACTAAAAACAAAATAGTTAACTGAAGGCCCCTTAATTGCTGAAGGAGCTTTATTATTGTTTTCCCTCTTCCAGTAATCTAATAAGCAATCCTGAATGTAGAAAACTAAAAGATTCAGTTTGAACCTAGAAAGAATGCTATGAATTCACTAAGGGCCTGTTTGGTACTCTACTTGAATCCAATTTTTAAATTCAAAAACAATTTTCAAGTTTTAGGCCTTAAAAACTTGTTTGGTAGGACTATTTTCAAAAACTGAACTCAAGACTAACTCAAAAATATAGTCTATTCTCTAAAAACATAAAAAGTGAGTTTTTAGAGTTTTTAAACTTAAACTCACTCATTTCTTTTCTCTCCCTCTTCCCCTCCCACTCCAAATCTATCTCTCTCTCTTTTCTTCTTTCTCTTTCCTCTTTTTTTTTTTTTTTTTTTACCTTTTTCGTCTCTCCTCCAATCTGCTACCTTCATTCTCTCGGTTCTTTCTCTCACTCCTCTTCCTCTCTTATCTCATCCGATCCTCTCTCCCTTCTTTCTCATTCCTTCAATCATCTCTTACTTTCTTTCCTCCTCTCTCCTCTTTCTCCCTCTTTTGCGACCCCCTCTTTTTGGATCTCTTTGTCTAGTTTAAGTCGTAAGATTTAAAACTTTTAAATCGCAAACCAATCACCTTTTTGAATCTTAAAGAAAATTGTTTTCAAGAAATGTTCTTAAGAAATGTTTTGAGACATGATAAAATTTTCAAGCAGGCCCTAAATTTCTGGTTTTTTAACTTGTAGACTTGTGGTGAGCTACACTTCTTGGTTTTAAATGCAAAGATACGAGTCATGTGATACGATTGTGCCCCTTTGTAATTAATAAAAGAAATGACTATTTAACATCTGCATAACAGAGATAAGTTCTTTTTGATTTCTGCTGGGAGGAAAGCCAAAGGGACCTAGGAATTTTTGTATTATATCGTAGGTACTAAGTACTAATATGAGGAAAATTTCAGGCCACAAAAATAAATTCAAGAATTTTATTCATTTATAATGTGTTTCAGCTAGTTGCAGCACAGATTTTATGGCCATTTTTAATGTTTTGGGATGATGTCTAAAAACCAGTCTATGTAGGTCAATCTAAACAACGTTTTTATGAAATCTGAAAACCATATGTGCTGTTCATGCTGTGCTATGCAAATGGTCAATTTGCTTTATGCATTTTGTTCCCGAACCTGTTGTACTTTGTCTTGTTTGCACTAGCCAGACTGTTCAACAAAATGCTCGCCAACCACTATACTCACGGCAGTATGAAAACTTGATTACATGTGTGCTTTATGGGTTGTAAGTATTAAAAGGGAAAGCTTTTTGTGTCCACAGTTTGAACCGGTCGATATTGGTGAAGGTTGTGCATGTCAATTTTGGAATCTTCAATAACCAATCCGAACCTTCTATCATGATAGCTGAATTAGTCATTTTGGATTTGCTTGAGAAGTAAATTTTGTCAAATTCTAATTGCGAGGTGTTATGTTCTTAGTGTTTACTTTCAAATATATTTTCTTCGTCATCTACCATTTGATTAAACCACTTGATTGGATTGAGTCGGTTGCACTCATCTCGTATCCTTTTTCTTCTTTACAGAGAGAACGGCGTCGTCAGGAACGTGAAGCTACCTTAGCAAATAGTCCTACATCAAGATAGAAGTATGTAGGAGGTCAAACGTCTTGAGTTACAGGTTTTATGCTTTTCTAAAATTTAATGCAGTTCGAGGTGTTCTATTTATGCTAAGATTTTAGTAAACAGAGATAAGGTATATGATTCTTTAGGATGCCTACGTTACGGATGTTATCTCTGTATATCTTATCTTGTAATTTTGAAATATGTTTGGATACGACCTCAAAGATTTGTAGGCGATCACAGTTCATGTGATGTAGATTTGAAATGGATGCACTGGATGAGGCTTTGATATTGCAAGGCCAAATGCGCAGAATACGGTGGAATGCTTTTTATTATATGTACTCTATGCATACTGCGACGTATTAGTCCTTGGGCTTTACAGAGATTTGATTTGACTTTGTATTAGGGTATTTTTGGCATTTACACATTAGGGTTTGTTAGGTTTATATCGCTACAAATATAGCTTGAAATTAGTTTAAGAAACAACTCAGTCACAAAGTAGCTTTTCGGTTCGTGAAGCTTTCTTGGCAATTCTGTTTAATAAACTTTTATATTATGTTAGGTCATTTGTTCATTGCGTGCTTTGATTTGCATACGGCCATGTTTTTACCATTTAATATTCCTTGAGTTATACTTACTATTTATTTGTACCATCTTTCAAATAGAGGTGGGGCTTTTAACATATATGGGTTTCATCTCTATTAGAGTGATGATATAAATGATGATACAAATAGATGATAAAAATAGTATTTTTACAGGGAATTGTTACTAGCACTTCAAAAATCTTATTTCGCACTCCAAACTTTCTATAATTAGAAAGAAAATAACAGTTATGAGGAGTGTAGAAGAAGATTTTTGGAATGCTAATAACAGTTCTTTTTTACATATCACATTAAGAGAGATAAGAAAGTGTCAAAATGAATGGCAAATAATTTCGAAGATTTTAAGATAGATACCAATAATACAGAACACGTACACGGTCGTGTGAATTATGGACGGGTAAAATTCAATAATCTTTCAGACCAAAATAAATAAATATATTTTGACAAAACAATAAAAAAAAAGAAAAAATAATGAGAGGATAGAGTAAGGACTCTAGGAGCAGCAGCAAGTCAAATCTTATGTACTTATTTTGTGTGTGGTTTTTCTATGATATCTATTATTAATTGATACGTGTCCATAAGCTTAATCTTTATTTTTTGAAAATACGATATTATTTACACTAAAGGGGCGGGAGACTGGGTTTAGTCTCATAATGGGACTAGTAATAATGTGGTTCAAATTCATCTTTGATGAGAATCGAACCTAAAATTTCTCACTTACAAGTGAAGAGAAATACAATATCACTAAATCGTAGTACTAAGTGGCAACCTTAATCCTTCTTAACTCTATTATTATGAACTTAAACAAGTCAATCAAAGAGAAACCATACACAAATTAACGTCAGAGGATTTGAACTAAAGCAGCAGCAAGCAGAACAAATTTAGGAAGCATTATTCAATGCACTTCAGTTCAGTTGAGTTCAAATCACGCCTGGTCATGTGCTTCTTCTCTCTCTTTGTTTCTACAAGTACACGCTTCCCCTTACTCGGCAGCATGTGCTCTTGTCCCACTTGCTCTTTACGATATGTGTATGTGCTCGCTCGCTCACACATTCATGGATGAGGATCATCTTCAAATTCTTGTTGTGAGAATTTTAGAGATTTTTGTCTGTTTATCGGATATCATGCAACTAGTTTTTGCTAGATACTGTTTGTATTTAATTTTAAATAAAAAAATTCAAAATAATTTCTAACCGCACGATATACTATGAACGGATAGGATGTGAAAATTAGGATGTGATCCAAATCCCTTATTCATATGCCCATTAGTCAGTCATTGCTTTCTCTATCAGCATCCATCCATCCATCTCCTCATTCCTGCTTTAACGCCAAGCTGTTAGGTTCAGTCGCACACGCATCATGCATGCGTAAACTATTCATAAGCATTGATATTTATTAAATAATTAGGATTAATTCACGCGAGTGTACACCAAATGCATCATTTGTCTTGACATGTTTGGTGACACATCTTCATCATATAATATACCATTTGGTAGTTGCTTTCAAAATTGTTCAATTGGGATTGTCTTCCTTGTTTTGAAATCCATCCCTTTTATAAGGTGACAACAAATGTTTACAACTCATGGGAAAATACGTGTGGTATTAAGTAATGTATTTGAAGGAAGTTGAGGTTTCACTATAAAATCAATTGACAATATGGGGAGTAACCCAACCTCTTATAAGCCCTTGCAAGGTTTTTCATTTCACCAATGTAAGACTATTTTACCTCACATTCTCACACACCTCCTCACGTGTGGCGAATTTTCAAGCCAAACAAGTGGAGAACACAAATTGAGTGACGTGGAGCACGTGTAGCCACTGGATTTCACATGTGGACAAATCTATTTTGATACCATGAAGAAAGTTGAGGTTCCACCATAAACCAATTGTCAATATGGAGGTAGCACAACCTCTTATAAACCCTTGCAAAGTTTCTCCTTTCACAAGCACGCGTGGTAGTTCGGCTTTACACGTGAGTAAATCTGCTTTGGTACCATGAAGAAAGTTGAGGTTCTACCATAAATCAATTGGCAATGTGGGGGTAGCACAACCTCTCATAAACCCTTGCAAAGTTTATCCTTTCACTAATGTGAGATCCTTTTACCTTCACTTTCTGATAGGAGAGAGATGTGGAAAGTAACATGCGTCCAAACGAGAAGGTATAAGTTCAACATAGGTCCTCTTGCTTATGCATTAGACTCGGCAAGGAACTTGAGCCTTATGGTTCAAAATGTCAACTAATGTCTTGGAATCACCTTCCACGATGAACTTCGTAAACCCAGCCTGTACCCTCCATCAAAAATAATCTTGATAAAATCATTAAGGGAAAATTCTCAATCGTAATTGTTTGCATTTCTCTTCATTGGTTCGAAGTTATTTTATTAGCTTTCCTGTAATTAGTTAGAAATTCTTTTATATGAATAATAGGATGTTGGGTTGTGGACTATTTTAGTGCACATATGCGGGCCATGATGGGTGACGCAAGCATAAATAATCATATTAACATGCATGATTAGTTGAACATAATAACATTGGATTCTGTTTAATCATATTTAATTAATTCATATGATCATGATCCATCAACATGCTTGTGTTCATGCAAAATAAATTAAGAATACATGCATAAGCTTAGAATAGTTTAGAATTTCAACTTTTAGATTTCATATGCGGACGAATTTGTTGTTTTTGAGGTTCCCGAGTGTTAACCCTCTACTAGTATCCACACAAATGAATCTCCATTAGTGAAGCAAGATGACAACGATCTACTAGGAAGTTCTCCTCCAGGTGGTATGCGTCAAAAGGTGTGGGTGGTGTTTGTTTCTCAATTTCTCTAAATTGGAAAACCTAAATTCCTTCTCTCTAATTTTTGTTTTTCAATTTGTGAATTCTCTATTAGGACTAAAGATGCCTTAAGCTTACATATAGAACAATTTCATAAGCCAATAGGATTATAAATTAATCATCCACCATTAGGCCATCTCCAACCGAGGGCTAGGCCAAAGGGCTGTAGAATTTGATAAGGCCCCACGGAATCAAAGAGGGCTAGAGGGCTGGCTAGAATAATCAGTTTTCCTGTCGATTATAACTAATAGGAATTTTTAAAAATAATTTTGAATCCAACGGCTAGCTGACGTCAGCTAGCCATTGCTAGCTAGTGCCAGTTACCGTTAGATTCAAATTTTTTTTTTTTTTTTTTTTAGGGTTTTTTTGTGCCTTTTTTTTTTTTAATTCTATTTTTTTTCCTATAAATACCTAAACCATTCCTCACAAAATTTTCACCATTCCTACCATTTCAATTCTCATATTTTCCTTCCTCTTTCAAAAATCTATCCTTCAATTTTTTTAATAATTTTGAAATAGCCTCTTCTGCAATAAAAGGTAGGGCTTGGACTCGAAAAGAAGATGAAGCTCTTTGCAAGGCTTATAGATGGGTATCAGAAGATAGTGTTAGGGGGAATTCTCAAACAAATGACGGTGTTTGGACTCGTGTGTCCAAAAAATATTCAAAGTTCTATGAAGGCACTACTCTAGTGAATATTCGAAACTATTAGAGTTGTTCTTCAAGATGGAAGAAACATCTTCAGCCAAGTTTGAACAAATGGCATCAAGCATTGTTAGCAGCTGCAAGTAGACATGAAAGCGGCGCTAATTACTATGACGAAGTAAGTGTTTTCACAATTTATTTTAAATATTTAATTATATTACATTTAATTTCATAAATTAATTTCCTTTAATTTTTTTCTAGGTACGCCAAGAGGAGGAATTATATATGGAGAGCAGCTCGAAACCCTTTCAGTTTCACAGTTGTTGGGAAATTTGTAAAGGGTGGGTGTTATTTGAAGATCCACCATAGAGAGCTCCTACGCCGGTGTTTGAAACTGCATCCTCAGCTGCATATATGGATGAAGATGGATCTCCAACCATTCAACAAAAAAGGGTAGAAAATCCGTCTTCGGGTGAAGGTTCCATACCTAGGGCTATGGGACGAAACAAGGCGCAAAGGTTGAAGGAAAAGGGCAAGGCAAATGATAACTACGCCGCTCAACATGAAGTGGTGGCCTCATTGCGATTATTGGCGGAGCAAAATGCCCTTGAGGCCGAAGAAATGAAGCGTAGGCATGAAGAACGGGCAAAACAAATACAAGAAGAGATGGATGATAAGAATATGGAAAAGAACACTTCGAATTACACTCCAATGAGTAAGGCCTATTTTGATAGGAAAATAAATAAATAAATTATGAGCCGACGGTAGTTGTTTACCTCTGACTATACTCCTACAATGGCGGATGATGAAGATGATGTTGATTATGGATATTAAATTTAAGTTGTTTTAGTTTTTAAATTTAAGTTAATGTTGTTTTCGAATTTAATTTGTAGTTTTTAAATTTAATTTGTCGTTTTTAAATTTTAGTTGTAATTTTTAAATATAAGTTGTAGTTTTTAAATATAAGTTGTTGTTTTTAAATTTAAGTTGTTGCAGTTTTTAAATTTAAATAATAAATTATGTTTGGCCCTTTGGCCCTCAGTTGGAGACAGTTTTTTGTGGCAGGGCTAAAACAAGCCCTTTGGCTCTCAGTTGGAGACGGAGGCAAATATGGCCTTGTATTGTTCATTAAAATATTAATATCTTGGAGAATCTTGGAGGGCCGGAGGGCTAAAACGAGCCCTCTGGCCAACCCTCGGCTGGAGATTGCCTTACATGTGTGCCGCAAGCCCTAAGAGACCTTTTCTTGGGCTTGTAACACCTCTAATGCCACTGAGCTTTTATCCCGATTTCTTCTTATTTAATTAATCTGATATTTCCTTTCAGACCAACTTCCTTATTTTATTTTAGTCCAAATAAATAATAATAAATAAAAGGCTTGTACCAATTTCGTATTATAAAATAGAATATGTAATATAAATAATTTATATTGAATTCATTTTTTACCTATTTTATCCTTCGATATATATCATTCT